CTCTGGAATGGGACCCTGTGGCCCTCTAGGGCATGGTGAACATATCCCACCAAGGGCTAGCCTCCAGCTTTATTTCCACAGAAGCCTGGTAGCTCCCAGCAGACTGTATCCCACCCTACGCCTGTGTCAGCTGCTCTGTGGAGCCAGCCCAGCTGCACCCTCTGCTGGCTCTCCTCTCTCTGCCCTGCACTGTGAACCGGGCCCAGTCCCCTTCTGCAGGTTCCTGCACCCTAGTCTTACTGGCTGGCTGGCAGACGCCCAGCAGCTTGGCTCTGTGGGTGGCTGTTTTCCTGAGTTGTGCACAGTGGGCAGGCCCCAGGCCCTGTGGTGCTGACTAAGGGTCCAGGGGGAAGGGCAGGCCTCGCCCCGGGGACCAAGGTGAACTGGAAGACAGAGTACCAGAGACTGGGACAGCAGGCCACACCCGACTGGGATAGCAATTGGAAGAGAGGGGAGACAGAAAGGGAAGGGGACAGGGAGTCCAGTTATCCCTGTTCCCAGCAGACTCTGAGTGGAGGGGGTCCCACACAGCAGGCGAGAGGACAGGGCTCCGACCCCCGGGGCCTGGGCATTGCCAGAGGACTTGAGGGCTCCCCGCCACTCCAGGAACCTAGGGAGGATCTCCCTGCCACTGCTGACCTTGACCGGCTGCTTGGCCGGGAATCTGCCCCACAGCTTTTTGCAGCCTCTGCAGCTGACTCAGCGGTTCCCAGCTGTGCTGGGGTACAGCCCAGGATTCCTGGAATCTCATTCTTGCTCTGTCCTCAGGGCCCACTTGTGCTATCCATCGATGCCTGCCATAGCTCCAAGGGCCCTCAGCGGTCAGGGGCCCACTCACAGCCCACCCACAGCTCCCTGGAGTGGGGACCCACTTATGTCTGCACAGAGGGGCTGGGGAGTTCTGGACGTGAGGAGGGGGCATCTCCACAGTCTCCTGGGCTCTGCAGGCCTGTTGATCTCAGGGTCCCTTGATGTCTTTCAGAGCTTCTCGCCGGGCCAGGGGTCTCCCCAACACTGTCGCCCACCTCTTGCCTGGCCCCCACCCTAGCACACAGGGGGACTCCAGGGCTATAGGACCCATCTGCCCAGCAGTGGGCTTTGTGTCCTGGGGCCTTGGTGGCCAGTAGGCAAGGCTGATGGACCCTGGATGGCCTCTGGGAGCAGGGCCCCTGCCCCCCCACCTGGCACCTCCACAGATGCCTGCAACCTGGCTCCCACAGACAGTGCTGGGCGCTGAGCTCTTGCCCTAGCCCTGCATTCTGGGGTCTCATTCCTGTCTGGGGTCTCCTCACACTGAGCCAGAGGGTGCCTGCTCCCACACCTGGCCACCCCAGGGCAGGGTGCGGGCTGGGATGGCGCTGTCAGGGTCAGAGTCCTACACTGGGCTAGGGGCTCTGCCTGGCAGCTTGTACTGTGGGAGTCAGCAGGAGCCACTCCTGCCAGGCTGTGACTGTGTCTGTGATAATGGTGGCCAACTCCCAGGAACCTCCCCCCAATGCAGGGTGCAGACAGTGTGGAAAGAAACAGAGCAGACATAGGTTCTGGGAACACGCTCATAGCCTACCCACAGGTGCGGGGACAAGAGGTGCAGTCCTCTCTGACAGCGTACAGGCCAACGCATATCCCCGGGGGCCCACCCCCACCCCCAAGCAGGCCCAGAGCTCCCCGAAGGCTCCCTGTGGGCAGTGCCTGTGGATGCTCAGTGGGGTGTGGCCCCACCAGGAAGAGCTCTGGCTTCCTGGGGCTGGCGAGAACCATGCCTGGTTGATGGTTAATCCCACGTCCGCTGTGGAGCAGCTGGGCAGGTCCACAGACAGAAAGACCCCTCCCCCACATGGCCACCGCCCTGAGCCCCCATCTGTTGAGTGTGTTTACTTGCACACGTGTGTACATGTGTGTGCGTAGCAAGTATGCTACATCAATACATCACTTTCTATCCACACCTTAACAAGACATAGACATGCACAGTGGCTTCCAGGGCAGGACCACTGCCAACCACTGCCACCATCCCTGAGGATGGGGGCACTGGTCATCCCACTAAGCCCAGCACATAGCCAGCAGGACTGGGGGGGCATCCCCACCCTGCCCCCTCAGCCCTTGGCTCTCCTGACTGCTCCGAGCAAATCCCCCAGGGAACATGGCCTCGCAAGGCCAGCACCTGGTGGGGAGCCTACTGCCCACAGAAGCACCTGCTGGTGCCGGGGTCAAGGGTCAGGATTGGAAGCCACCAACCACCATCCACCCCCTCCTATTCCCTCTGTTCCTGACCCTTCTCCCTGACTCCCCACCCACCTGCACACGGGGGGCAGACCAAGGTCTGGGAGGTTGATACAGGGGCTTAGCTGGGTCTGGCTCACTAATCCGGGCCTGAGGGTGTCGGATGTCTGATAGCTGCCCCGCCCAGCCCTCTAGGTTAATGATCCCTGGGTCACGGGATTCCCTCCGCCCCTGCCTGTCCCCACACCACTCCCCCGCCCCAGCCTGACAGGCATCCCAGGCTGGGTACAGGGTTCCTTCCCTCTGTAGGCACCATGGCTGCCCTGGTGGATGGAGCCAGAGGGCAGGGCGCACAGAGGTGCTCACCTGAGGGACGGTGGAGGTGGCCAGAGACCTGCCAGGGTTCTCAAAGCCGAACAACAGTGGTCACACCAAGGACAAAGGAGGCCGCATCCAAGACGCCCCCTCAGCACGGGCATCCTCTCGGGGTCCCTGGGAGGCAGTGGAGGCAATGGCATCATGACCATGCCCACATGGCGAGTCCTCTGTTTCCAGAGAATGTGGGAGGAGTCTGTCCACCTCAGTGTCCCAGGGACAGCCACCACTGTGGGGAGAGCAGGGATGGATGATAGGGCTGATGGGTGTGGGGCGAGATCATGGCACTACCCATCCTGTGCTGGCCAGCATCAGAGCTGCCCTGTGTGTGGGCACCCAGACCGCTGGCCTTGTGGCTGGGAGGTGAACGAGCTGCAGCCCACAGGCACGGCACCCAGGCCTCCCGCAGGTGAGGGAGTCCCCCTGCCTCCCCAGGCTGTGGGTCCCAGCGTGGCCATTGCAGAGGTATCGGGGAACATGCAGGAGTGGGTGTGCTGCTCCAGGGACATCATCCACTGGACACGGACACCATGCAGCCTGCGTAGCCGTCTTCGGCAGTCCCAGGCTGCCCAGCTCCAGCTCCCTGCTCATGCGTACCTGGGGAAGCAGTGGCTGGCAGTCCAGGTGTGAGAGTACCTACCACCCAGCTGGCAGGCCTGCCAGGGCACGGGGGTGGACCTCCTGCCGGTCCCCTGGCTTCTGCAGAACTGTACTTCCTGGTTACTCTCAGGGCTTCCAAAGCCAGGTGGGCCGGGGTGCACTGAACAGAAGGAGGCCATGGCCTGGCCACCTTGCATGCTGGCATGGAGGGCAAGTGTGGTGACCAGCTTGCCCATGACCAGGCATACTACATGGGAGCATGCCAGTCCAGGGGGCTGGACTGGGCAGGGCAGGGAGGGCCCGGCCTCTGACCTCAGGGGCAAAGGAGGCTGCTGGGCAGAGTGGGACTGGTATGAATGCCAAGGACTGGGCAGCCTCCTGGGCTCTTGTCCAGCTCGCTGGGCAACCTGGGCAACTGGGCCACCTGCAGCCAGTGCAGGGGCCCAGTGCAGAGGCCACGGCCCCACCCACATGGGCTGGGTCTTCACCAGGACCCTCCTCTTGGGACTCAAGGGTAGGGTCATCTGTCCAGGGCTGTAGGGGCCGGGGCAGAGGCTGGCAGGGATGCTGCAGGGGACCCCAAGTCCAGGAATCTCTCTATCCTCTTTCTGTAGCTGATTCTGGAAATTTCTCAAGGAACAGCTAAGGAGTCAGACCCTGTGGGACCCCAGGGTACTGAGGGCTTGGGGTGTCCCCCTGGGGCCTGGCTGTCCACCCTAGGCCTGGGTGCAGCTTCCTGTCGTGCACCTAAGTGAGCTGGAGGGGAAGGAAATGGGCAGAAGGCAAGGAGCCCTGCCTGTACGCTCGTGATGTGGCACACTTGCACATCTGAGAGGCTGCCAACCCCCGCCAGCTGCATGGGTCCCCTGCCCTGCACCAGGAAGACCTCCAGCATGGTCCTGGAAGGGACACGGCAGTCCCCCACTCGTGGTACCCCACAAGAGGGGTTAGACTCAGAAATCCTCTCTCACAGCTTCCCTCAGTCTGATTCTGCCACGAAACAGCCCACACTCGCCCATTTAGCTCCTAGCAACCCCCAGGTCGCACCCCCCTGCCGAATGTCCACTGCTAGAGCCCCATTTGCACCCGCCCTGCTCTGCTCATCTGTCACTCTGGTGCAGGGGGGGATAAAGCTCTTCTGCTCCTCCTGCCTGCGGGAGCAAAGGTCAAGCCCCTGAACTTGCTCATCCCGGCAGCCCCGCCTCACGCATCCTTCCATGGGGCAGGGCAGGCAGAGATAAGAAGCTCAACAGGGAGGGGCTGCGGGCGGGCCGCCCCACTACCATCCCAGCCTCCAAGGGCAGCCCCTCAGATCCCCTCAGACACGCTGGCTTCCGGAGGTTTTCCTGCTGGGGTGAGTAGGGCAGGACCCGGGAGCCTTGCATGCAGGCCGCCACGTGCGGTGTAACTGCCAAGGACAGAACCCTGAGGCACTCAGTGAATCTGGGAAGCCCCCTGCCCCCTGTCCTGGGGTCCGAGCTGCCCTGTGTCCCCTACTGGACCTCAGGTTCCCGAGGCTAGCCTGAGGGAGGGGGGGAGGGGCTTCAGGCAGGAACCCTGGGGCCCATCGCCAGCGGGAACCCCCGGAGAAACTGGGGCAGCTAGGTGGGCCCCCGCAGGTCTGGGGGCAGCTTACCTGTGGGTGTGTCAGCTGTAGGGGAGGTGGCACCCGGCGGAGGGCGGGTACCTTGGCAGATAAGGCATTAACTGCCTGCCTGCCCGCCTCACCCTGCAGATCTGCTGACGGCTCCTCTCATCCAGGTGCCGAGGCCCGGTGCCAAAGTTCCGCAGACGCCTTTGGTGCCCCGATCGTTCGACGACCACCATGGTTCGACTGGTGCTGCCCAACCCTGGCCTGGAAGACCGCATCCCCTCGCTGGCCGAGCTGGAGGTCCTAGAGAAGGAGGGAGCCAGCTCTCGGCCCCAGTGGGACAACAAAGCCCAGTACATGCTCACCTGCGTGGGCTTCTGCGTGGGCCTGGGCAATGTGTGGCGCTTTCCTTACCTGTGCCAGAGCCACGGAGGAGGTAGGGTCCAGAGGACAGCAGGGACATGGTGTGGTCGATGGAGGGGTGTCCCTTGGGGCTTCCCCCTGTTTTGTTCACGGAGAGCAGGAACGGGAGAGGAACCCACAGCTAGCTCCAGACTAATGAGGTGCTGGGGGTCACCCTGGAGGGGGCTTCTCCAGCCCCACAGGATATGTCGAACTGGGTGCATACTGAGGGGAGGGGGGACACCCCAGGGGCTCGGTCCACCTTTCCCCGGAGCTGTCTCTCTACTCTGCTCTACCCCCACCGGGGCGTCTTGCCTGCACTCCCAGAAGGCTCTGGTGACCTGGTGGGCACAGCTGGAGCCTCTTGAGTGAGTGGCCTGAGCATCCCAGAGTAGTTTGTGCCCTCCTGTCCCCCTTGGCCAGCTCTGAGGGTGCTGCTGCCTCTGGACCCCTTGTTGGGGGCAGCCTGTGGCTGAGGGGCCCCGGCTCCGCCTCTGTGGAGGCACAGGCCTGGAACAGGCTCTGCTGGGTGCTCTGGGCGGGTCCCGAGGCCGGGCTGAGATTCTGGGCTCTGCTGAGACACGACCGGTCCCGTCCTGTTCCCTCCCTGTTGACACTGGGAACGAGCTGCCACTCACGTCACCCCCTCCCACCTCACTGAGACTGACTGAGGAGCTGTGACTCTGGGGGGAGGAGGACTGAGGAGTGGGGTGTTGGGTTCTGAGCCCTGTTTCCTGCAGCCTCAGGGGCCTCCTGGTCACTTCCCATTTTCCACTCCTAGGGGTCCTGCAGGGGAGAGGTATCCCTAGCCTCCTGTGGCTCATAGCTCCCCTTGCTCCCTACAGAAGGCCGTGGATGTGGCCATACCTATGGGGGGCTGGCAGAGCCCCCTGTCCCCTAGGAGCTGAGAATCAGGCTGGGGCTTTCCAAGAGGCCTTCAGGGGCATCCTTGAGGACAAGGGTCCAGGGGCCTTCCCCTGCTGACCCGGGAGCACGGCAGTGACAAGGTGTACAGCCCTGGACAGAGCCTGGGCCCCAGCGTGGTTGTGTATGCCTCCCAGGTACGGTGTACATGGCAGGGGATGGAGACCAGGGGAAGGGGTTCCCAGGGGCTTGAGGGGAGGCCCCAGAGGGACACAGGGACGGAGGCTGTGCCAGTGTGGACACTCTGGCATGCGTGGTGTGCCCGGGGAGCTGTGCCCTCAGACCTGCTTGGACTGCCTCAACAGGCTGCTTAGGGCCACGTTTCACGGAGCATCCCCAGGTGCCGAGCGGAGGAGCAGATGTCCATGGGACAGTTACCAGTCCCTGGCTTCCAGGCCCCTTCCCAGAAGAAACTGCAGCCAGTGTAGGGGGACCCCATGCTGGGCCCCACTCAGTTGCACGCTCTGCTGGGAGCCCAGGACCTTCTGGTCTCTGCCATGATATGACCATGGAAGGCATCCATGGGACCTTAGCCTAGCCACCCGGGAATGTGGGTTCATGCTCCCCTGCCCCTTCCTTGTGGCAGATTGTCAGGGGACAATAGCGGCATGGGGTGTAAGAACCTTGTGGGGAGCCCACCAGGGGTGTTCCCGCCATTCCTGGATTCTGGCCTCCTCCATTGCTTGTCCAGTAACCAATCGTGCTGATCACTCTGGATACCAGCCCCCAGCTGCTGGACGGAGATGGGGAACTGGCTGGGGCACAGGGACTTGCAGCTCCTTTTTCTTTTCCCTCTTGCTCTTCCTGTTTCATCCTCCTTTCCCTCCTCCTCCCTTTCTCCTCCCCCTTCCTCCTCCTCCCCTCTCCCCTCCCTCCCTCACCCTCACAGGATGACCTGTGCTGCTGCCTTTATTCCAGCTGCCTTGGGCCCTACATCTGCAGGTGTGAGGGACTTGGGGCTGCCGGCCAGGGTCTAGGCTCCAGGACCTCTGCTCCCAAAGAGGCCTGGAGTGGGAATGTTGGTGGGGTTTGGGGGGCCATGACCCTAGAAGCCCAGAGGGATCCCCAAGAGTATCCAGGCTAAGCCCACAGCACAGTCCCCGGGTTGGGCAGGCAGGACACAAGAGGTAGGAGCAGGTGCCTGGTTGGTCCGGGGTCCGCCTGGCCTGGCCTGGCCTGACCCCACCCCTTGCTGTGCCTCAATCTCCCAAGGAATCTAGCCCCAACCTGGAAGAGGGCAGGGCACCAGGCCTTTCCTGTGGGAAGTGAGGGCACAGAGGGAGGAGAGAGCACAGGAGGAGGGGAGTGAGGCCCCAAGGGAGAGGAGGGGTAGGCAGGCAGGGAGAGGGTGGCCGGGCTCGTGCAGTCTCTCTCTCTCTCCCGCTTTCATGCAGAGACCACACCTGGACACAGAGTCTGAATGGCCCAGGCCAGCTGCTCAGCCAGGAGATGGTGGCCAGGAGGGATGGGTGGGCTCCGGACGTCCAGCAGTATGGACGAGGGGACAGAGGACAAGCCGGCGAGTGCAGGGGCACTGGGGCCTCACCCAGGGGCAGGATTCCTGGATGGACAGTGGGAAGGGTAGACAGCCGCCAGGTTCTGGGAAGCCCCGCCCTACCAGCCTCAGGCACGACCACCATTCAGAGTCTCCTGGGCCAAAGTCCTGCTGGCCTGGGTGGCAGCCAAGGGAAGCTTGTCTCTTGGCCTTGGCTGGACTTGGTCTGAGCTGCTCCCGGTTCCGGAGTGGGGTCCCTGCAGCTGGGGAGGGTCTTCGTTGGGCTCTGCTGGGTGTGCTTTGCAAGAAATCCCTGCCCCAGTACATGGTTACCACGTCCATGCCGGAGTCCAGGAGCTGCTGACAAGAGCTTGCAAAACCCAGCTAGGTCCCACGGAAAACCTAGAGGTGCAGGGGACACCCAGGCCAGTCCCTCTGCACCTTTGAGGGAGGGTCTGGGTGCTGGCCATGCCTCCCCTGCTCCATGGGGCCCCCCAGCTCTGTGCAGGCCTTCCATGGGCCTGCGGGGTGGCTCACTGGCCCCACAGGGTCTCTCTCCCTTCTTAACTAGTGCATCTCTACTCCTTGTTAATTTCAAAACAACACCCTCCCCCTCAAAAAAAAAAAAAAAAAAAAGAAAAGAAAAGAAAAACAACCCAGAGAAGCTGAACTTTCTGGTCCATTGGCCACAGGCGGCTCAGGTTCCCGGCCTGGTTCTGCTGGCACTTCTGCCATTCCAGCTCACCAGCTGTCCTGGGCTGTCCCCTCGAAGCCCTAAGCCAGAGCCCCTCAGGTTGTCAAGGAAGGGAGAGATGGGAGAAGGTGAGACAGGGCCGTCTACTGTCCTCAGGGAGGCGACCTGGGCCCTGTGCCTGATGATCCTCCCAAGCAGGTCAGATGACTGGGGCTGCCCTGCCCTCCAGGGGCTCCTCTCACTCACGTCCACTCTCCCATCTGTCCATTCCAGGGGTGCTGCCAGCTACTGAAGTATTTATTTAATAATTTAACTTAATGCTAATTTACTATGGGACCATGGTTACTGCCTCCTGGCTGTGCACAAGCTGAATCAGACCCAGCTGTGTTGGAGTTGGGGCGGGGCTGAAGCTGGGGTTGGCCCCAGTCCCTGGGTGTGGTGTGTGGGTGTCCTGAGCACGGGGCCATCGCCCACCCCAGTGCTGTCAGCTGGTGGACAAGAGTGTCCATCCCTGAGGGTCTCACACAGACAGGGATGACACAGCATAGTGGGGATGCCTTTACTAGGCACCTGAGGGCCAAGCTTGGTAGTGGCCCCCACATACACACACTATACACATGTATGGCACAGACACGTGTAAACACATACACAGAACAGTAGGAGCCTCTTTACTGAGGGTCAAACTCGGTAGTACCCTCACAGGTACATGATATACACATGTACACACATAAACGTGCAGAATACACATGTATACCACATATATACATGCTACACACATGCAAGTGTGCACACACAGTGCATGGTACACACATAGACTTGTGCACCACACACATACATGCACCTGTACACATGTAGATTACAACATGTGTATGCACCACGCTTGTACACAAGTACACACTATACATATGTAGAGCACGCAGTACACACATGCATGTACTACACAATAAGAACACAGTCACACACGTGTGCCACACTCGTTGCACTCCTGTGTGCCACAGACACATAGAAGTACATCTGTGCACACACATACATGTGCACAGTTCTGCTGGGTCCGAGTGGAGACACGGGGCACCCTGCACCCAGGCTGGAGCCCAGGAGGGCAGATGTACTGCTGGAGGGGAGAGCAGATGGGTGGTGACTCAGCCTGCCCAGCTCCAAGGGTGGCTGGGTGAGGCTCAGTGCTCTGGGAACCCACTCAGGGCAGCAGGTGGCATCAGCCTGTCAGCACCAGGTGGTCCCCTGGCAGGGGGGCTGTGTGCCCTGGCTATGCCCCTCTAAGCACCATCTCCCCCACAGGTGCCTTCATGATCCCCTTTCTCATCCTGCTGGTGCTGGAGGGCATCCCCCTGCTGTACCTGGAGTTCGCCATCGGCCAGCGGCTGCGCAAGAGTTCCATGGGTGTGTGGAGCGCCATCCACCCGGCCCTCAAGGGTGTAGGTGCGTCCTGGAGTGGGGACGGGGGTCTGGAGACACCTCAGGAGCCCGGTTGCCCCCTACCCATCCCGTGCACATCCCAGCACCTGCAGGCTTGCTCAAGAGGGCAGCTGGGCTCCTGCCGTCCATCCACTCCCACACCAAGCAGCCCCATGGTCACTCATTTACTGGCTCTGTGATGGGCAACTCTTGCTTGGAGACCTGGGACAGGGGCAGAGGCCAGGGTCCATTGGACAGAGCACCTGGGGCCAAGGCCTCCTCCCTCTGGCTTTGTCTCCCCTCCCCCTCCTTCCCTCTTTTCCCTGCCTCTCCCCTACCCATCCGTCTCACATCTCATTTGGTTTGGTTGTAAGTCCACATCATGGCATACACCTCGACCCTCGTAGCCAGCCCACCTGTGACCTCTGCCCTGCCCTGGGGGAGAGGGCAGACATCCCATGAAAGGCTTGGCTCCAGCCCCCAGGCAGCACCTTGATAACTCTCTGCTGAGAGCCGGACCACCTTGCCCACTTCCCCAGTGGGTAGGCAGTGGCAGCCTGCAGGACATAGCCCCTCCCCCCAGGCATCACAGCCATGCTGGCTTCCTTCATGGTGGGGCTGTACTACAACACCATCATCGCCTGGATCCTGTGGTACCTCTTCAACTCCTTCCAGGACCCGCTGCCCTGGAGCCAGTGCCCACTCAACCAGAACCGCACAGGTGGGTGCCCAGGGCGCCTAGAACAGGCAGGGCCCCAGAGGAGCCCATGGGGCCACGAGCACCAGACAGCTTCCCATCCCAGAGGGTCCTGCCAGGGTAGCAGGAGGAGAGACTGCCCAGGACCAGGGTGATGGGGGCTGTGTGGCTTACATGTCTGAGCACACATGTAGGCTTGCATGTGCTATGTGTGGTCTACACATGTGTGATCACATGTAGGCTTGTGTACTGCGCATGGTTTACGCATGTGAGCATGCATGTCAGCTTGTGTGTGATGTGTGGCTTATACGTGTGTGAGCACACAACTAGGCTTGCATATGCTGCATGTGAACATATATGTAGGCATGTAATACTGCGTTTATCTCGCATGTGTGAACACACATGTAGGCTTGCGTGTGCCGTGTGTGGTCTACACGTGTGTGAGTGCACATGTAGACTTGTACGTGCTGTGTGTGTGTACATGTCCTCAGAGCCAGCGCCTGGCAGCACACCCAGGTCCCCTCCTGTTGGCGGCCTAGAGCCCACCTCTTCCCACTCCTGTCTGCTGTGTGCCCACCCCAGGCTATGTGGAGGAGTGCGCCCGGAGCTCCTCTGTGGACTACTTCTGGTACCGCGAGACGCTCAACACGTCAGCGTCCATCGACGACTCGGGCTCCTTGCAGTGGTGGGTCCTGCTCTGCGTCACGTGCTCCTGGAGTGTGTTGTACGTGTGCACCATCCGCGGCATTGAGACCACCGGAAAGGTAGTCTGCAGGTTGGCGGGCAGGGAGGGCTCCTGGGCGCCCCTTATTCAAGGCGGCGTCTGTGACCCCTGCCCTCCGCGTCTGTGACCCCCACCCAGGCTGTGTATGTGACGTCCACGCTGCCCTATCTGGTGCTCGCTATCTTCCTCATCCGTGGGCTCACGCTGAAGGGCGCCACCAATGGCATTGCCTTCCTCTTCACGCCCAACGTGAGTCCTGGACCCCGTCCTCCTCAGCCTGGGCACACTCCACTGCCAGTTCCTGACCCCTCACACCCCTGCCCGACGGCTGCTCGGCTCCCACAGGTCACGGAGCTGGCCAACCCGGTCACCTGGCTGGATGCGGGTGCGCAGGTCTTCTACTCCTTCTCACTGGCCTTCGGTGGCCTCATCTCCTTCTCCAGCTACAACTCGGTGCAGTGAGTGGAGGGCTCTGGACGGGAGGCCTCACCATCTCCGTGGGCGTTGGGGAGCCTGGCCACTGCCACTCCGGGCAGACTGGTTCCTCTCGCTCGTGGCCTCAGCCCTCCAACGACACCTCTTCCCCACACAGCACCAGCTCACCCTCGGTGCAACAGGTGCCCAGGGGCACAAGGGGCTGTGAAGCCCCCACCATAGCTAGGTCCTGGTTCCAGGCTGCACCTGGCCCAAGCGATTCCTCTCTGACAGGCCCACATCCCCAACAGGGCTCCCCTAACCACCCTGCCCAAGACTGGGTCTGCTGAGGCCAGTTCTCTGGTCGCATGGCCTGACCTTGGGCTGCAGGCCTGGGAACCTACTGGTATGCTCCCAGTGCTGGACTGCCCGAGAACTCTGAGGTCCCTTGGATGCGGGGAGGGCTGTGTGCCTGCCATGGTCTCAGGGTATGGGGAGACCCCAGGACAGTGTTTCCGGGAGTGTCCCTTCCTCAGACCTTCACAGGTGTCCAGGGTAACCCCTGGGGGCCCACCACCCCAGGGCTGAGCCGAGTCAGGATCCATGACCCCACACCTCCCCAAGGTGGGGTAGGGGGCAGATGGGATTGGAAGCAGAGCTTGGGTGACAACAGCTCCGGCTCCTCGACCTCTCTTGGGGTCCCCAGTAGAAGCAGGCTGGGGATGGGGTGCCACGGGCCAGACTCTGTGGGCCTGGATGCCAAGCCAACAAGGGCCTGGCCACTGTGTCCACAGTAACAACTGTGAGATGGATTCAGTGATCATCTCCGTCATCAACGGCTTCACCTCTGTGTTTGCGGCCACTGTCATCTACTCCATCATCGGCTTCCGTGCCACGGAGCGCTATGACGACTGCTTTAGCACGTGCGTGCCTGGCCCCGCAACCCTGGTCCCTGGCCCTCTGCTCCAACCCCTACCTCACCTCACTCACCCCACTGTCTCTGCAGGAACATCCTGACCCTCATCAATGCCTTCGACCTGCCCGAGGGTAACGTGACGCAGGAGAACTTTGCTGAGATGCAGCGCTGGTGCAATGCCTCGGACCCCGCCACCTACGCCCAGCTCTCCTTCCAGAACTGTGACCTGAACACCTTCCTGTCTGAGGCAGGTCCTGGCCCCGTGTGGGTGGGTAGGTGGGACCCCCCCCACTCCCATGCCTGGGCTCAGCCTTGCGCTGGCATGGCCAGGTGACCGTGGGGCTGAGCCGTGCCATTTGCAGGGTGTGGAGGGCACTGGTCTGGCCTTCATCGTCTTCACAGAGGCCATCATCAAGATGCCCGTGTCCCCACTCTGGTCGGTGTTATTTTTTGTCATGCTGTTCTGCCTGGGGCTTTCGTCCATGTTTGGGAACATGGAGGGTGTGGCTGTGCCCCTGCTAGACCTCAAGGTGGTCCCTGCCAAGTGGCCCAAGGAGCTGCTTACAGGTGTGTGTGTGTGTGATGGGTGGGGCTCTAGGGGGCGGGGCAGGGCATGGCACCACCCTGCTCTCTCCTTCCTGCAGGCCTCATCTGCCTGGTGAGCTATCTCCTGGCCTTCGTCTTCTCGCTGAACTCGGGCCAGTACTGGCTCTCCCTGCTGGATAGCTACGCTGGCTCCATCCCTGTGCTCATCATTGCCTTCTGTGAGATGTTTGCGGTTGCCTACGTGTATGGCATTGACAGGTGAGAGCAGGCGACTGTGGGCAGGGGGAGCAGCCTAGGGGACCCTTCAGAGGTGGGGCTTCCCCTGGAAGCCAGTCTGAGTCCCTGTGGGCACAGGTGGGTGGGGGTATATGTGCAGGGTCAGGTGTGAGCACAGGTGTGCGGGGTCAGATGTGAGCAAAGTTGTGAAGCATTGGTGTGCATGACTGCGTGTCCTCTGAGCATGTGCAGAGGAAGGGATAGTCTTGGTGGGTGGTGCTTGCTGAAGGCTCCAGGGCTGCTTGGGTGTGTTCTGGGAGAGCCTTGGATTGGTTCATGGTGGCACCCACCCATACTGTCCTGGTTCCTGCCAACAGCGGGGAGCTCAGAAAATGTAGGACCCTCCAACCCAAGACATGGCCTCACCTGGGCACTACCCTGGGGTCTGCTGGAAGGTTTAAATGGAGTCCATCTGGTGGCTTGGCTCTTGGTTGCAGACTCCTTGCACAATCTGGCCTCGCCAGCTGGGAGAATGTTGGCAGAGCTGGCTGGTGTGTGGCCAGGAGCTCTCCCAAGGGGAAGGGCTTGGCATGAGGGGCAGTGCTCACTACCCAGCAGTGTCTGACGTCCTGGGTCCCCCAACACTGATGTCGGCCTCTGCCTGCAGGTTCAGCAAGGACATTGAGTTCATGATTGGCCACAAGCCCAACATCTTCTGGCAGATCATGTGGCGGGTGGTCAGCCCGCTCCTCATGCTGGTCATCTTCCTTTTCTACTTCGTGGTAGAAGTCACCAAGCAGCTAACATACAATGTCTGGAACCCTAATTATGTGAGTGCCCGGGCTGCCCGTGGGTGAGCTCGTGGGGTGGGGGCCATGTGTGCTCATGCTGCTGTGTTTTCCCCCACAGGAGGAGTTTCCCCGCTCCCAGAACATCCCGTACCCGGCCTGGGTGTATGTGGTGGTGGTCGTCGTGGCCGGGGTGCCCAGCCTCATCATCCCTGGCTTTGCCGTCTACACGTTCATCAGGAACCGCTGCCGGCGGTCAGGGGACCAGCAGGGACTGGTCAGCACACAGTCCATGGTGTCTGTGAACGGGGACCTCAAATCCTGAGGTGCCCAGCCCAAGGCACGCAGGGTGCTGATGCCAGCCAGGCCATCTGTGTGCCAGTCCATGTGTGTATCATGCTTGTGGCATACTGTGTGAGTGTCCAGTGTGCTGTGTGTGTGCACACATCCGTGTGTGAGCATTGCATGCATGTGTGCATTAGCCTGAGTACACATGAGTGCAATGCAGTGTGTGCTTTCCTTTGTATGTGATGTATGTTTCTCCAGTGCATGCATGTATTTGCATGTGAGTTCATGATAGTGTGTGCATGTCAGTGTGTCTCGATGTGCATGCATGTGAGGGCATGTTGTGGGTGCATGCATGCTGATCTATCATGTGCATTTACACATGTGTAGTGCATTGTATGGGTTGTGCAGCTGCACTCACATGCATGTAGATCACTGTGCGACTGCATGTACAATGCTGTTTGTTCATACATGCATGTGTGTGCAGGTGCACACGTGTAGCTTTGTGTGTCTGCCTGTTCATGGTGCACATGTCCACCGTTGCCCAGTCACCTTTCAGGGACATGACGCAGCTCAGGACTAACCTTGTGCCCTGCATGTCCCAGAACACCAAGAGCTGAGTGGGGAGTCTAGCCGCTACCATTACTCTCATGTCCCAGCCCCCATGCTGCCCCTGTGCCCCAGCTGCTGGCCCTTGGCCTAGGGACACAAGGCTCCCTTTAACTGGAAGACCAAGCCCCTGACTGACCGTGGAGTTCCAGAAGAAGGAGCCACACCCTCCAGCACCCAGACTCGTCAGTCCCTGGCGAGCCCCCATGCCCGCAGTTCGGTGGACACTCAGCTATGTAATCTATTGTGCCAGCCCTGTGGTGCCACCCCACCTGCTTGCCCGCCCACCAAAACTACCTGCTTCCTGGTGGGACTCAGCTATGAATGTTTAACCAGATGCCAGGAGATGGAGGTTACAGGGTAACTTGGCCCTGGCCTCGGCCACCAAGGGTGCTGCGACCTGCTGGACACCTGCAAGGACCACGCAGCTCCTGGGAGGTCCAAGCTGCAGCCCCTCTGTGAAGCTCGGGGCTTGACCCACAGCTCAGCCTGTCACCCAGGCATCCATGATGTCCACCAACACATGGGAACCAGCACTTGCCCTGGAGTGGACTCGGATTCTTGCCAGCCAGTGGGAAGTGACACCCGGCCACAGTTCCAGACACCTGACCAGGGTGGCACAAGACAGAAGTCCCAGCTACTGGAAGACCCCACCTTGATTTCCAATTCCCTGTCAGGGGAAGGCCCCCGTGGTTGCCCCATGGCATCCCAGGCCTGGCTCTACCCAAATGCACATGCCAGACAGGCCTCAGGGTGAGGGTGGCCGGACACTCTGGGGCTTCTGACTGCCATGTAGTCCCACTGTCCATGCAGGTGTGTGGGCATTTTGTGTCCCTGTCTAAATACATCTCTGTGTGCAATGTCCAGCGCTCTCGGCCAGAATCGTGTGTCTGAATGGGCATAGGGGAGGGGCCTCAGTGGTGGGCAGCTCCTCTCCCTGGTGGGCCAGTGCCAGGATTGCTCGCAGAAGGCTTCATGCTGGGGCTGTGCCGGATGCTGGACCTGACCCACGGAGGGTCCCCAAGGAGAACCCAGACACCCCGAGATTCATGGCCAACCCCTAACAGGACTGCCCAACCCTGAAGTCCCTGCAGAGCTGCGTGCCTGTGGCAGACATGGCCTCCACTCCAGGACCCCCAGCTGGGCTGTGGTATGGGGGGAGGGCCACAGCATCTGGTGGGGACCCCTTCTGAGAAAATTCAGAGAGGGACACGGGCATACTGGCCAGAAAGCTGTACCCAGACTCCTGAGCTGCTTGAGATGGGGAGTGGCCACCCAAACTGCTGGAAGGCCATGGCCATCAGGACAACAAGTGGCCAGACACCTGCTGACCCCCCATGGTGACCTGCATGGTGCTGGAAGCCAAGGAGAGCATGTGGCTGTGAGGTTGTTGGGGAAGGTCCGTAACAGGCTGTCCCAGATCTTGAGGCATCTGTCTTAGGTGTGAGCTCAGCAGAATGTGGCCACCTTGGGTAACTGGGGACGAGGCCCTGTCACCCAGGAGCCTGTGTCTGTCGTCACGAGTCAGTAGCTTCACAAACTAGTGTGCCCAAGTGTCCCCAACAGGAAGCACAGGCCGTGACGGGGCCCCAGGCCAGCAGCTGGCATTGGACACATCGTGGGAGAGGGGCCGGGGATGCGGGCAGTGCTGGGCCCCAGTCACCAATTAACCGAGTTCCCAGCTTCGCTTTAAATAAAGGCAAGAATGCCAGGGTGGTTCCCAGGCACCAGTCCAGCTGAGGGTTCAGGCGCAGCAAGGCCCTCTGACTGCCCCGAGCCACTTGGCGGCATGGCTCAGGCCCCGGGGCCAGCCCCGGCTGTGGACACACAAGAGGATGAGCGGCCCAAATGGGACAACAAACTGCAGTACCTGCTGAGCTGCGTGGGCTTCGCCGTGGGGCTCGGCAACATATGGAGGTTTCCGTACCTATGCCAGACCCATGGGGGAGGTAAGACTTGCCACATCCAGGTTCCAGGGCTCTAGGGACCCTGTGCGGACAAGCCCACAGCCCGGGTGTCTGAGCCCAGGGACTCAAGAACCCATAAGCGGGATGTGGGTGTCTGCCCAGGCTCCTTGCTTGGCCCCAGGGGGGCCCCTGGCTTCCCTGACCTCACTCAAGACAGCCAGGTCCCCAGTATGCAAACATGGGGTTCACCTGCAGTGGCCACATGTATGCACAACACTGGAAGCCGCCTCCAGGTCTCTTGGGAGTCCCTGGTCCTGCTCCACATAGAAGTGTGCTGTGCCTTAGGCTCCCATGAAACACTGGAGGCAGGGAGCTTGTGGACTGAGTGAAGGGGAAGCCTCCCAGGGTGCCCCAAGGGAAGGAGTCCACAGCTCATCTGGGTTAGAGTGTTCAATGGGAAGACAGAGAGACCGGAATGGCTGCTAGGCCCAGGGTTCGTGTGGGTGGGCAGGCCGGAGATGTCCACCCTCTTGCCCTTTGTTCCATGCAATGGCCTCCTCTGGCAGCCTCCAGCAGAGGTTCCACTTGGGGCCCGATGGCCCTGGGGCAGCCTGGGCAACTGCTCGGGACTCCCTCCATGGCTGCCTGGCCTGAGGACCCTGGCTACACAACCACTCAGCTGGCCCAGAGTGTGCCTGGGGGCCACAGCCCAGCTTGCACCAGCGCATATGCAGAGTCCCAGGCTGTGGCCCTGACCACCATCCCTGTGTCCTGCAGGGGCCTTCCTTATCCCCTACTTCATCGCTCTGGTCTTCGAGGGGATTCCGCTGTTCCACATCGAGCTCGCCATTGGCCAGCGCCTGCGCAGGGGCAGCATGGGGGTGTGGACAGCCATCTCCCCCTACCTGGGTGGAGTGGGTAGGCCACCCGTGAGGGCAGGGCAGGCAGTGCCCCTGGGGCGTGGGGAGAGGACGGACCCTCTTGAGGAACTCCCCGGGGCCTGGGTGGCAGCTGACTGCCCCCTCCTTCTGCAGGGCTGGGGTGCTTCACCGTGTCCTTTCTGGTCAGCCTGTACTACAACACCATCCTTACCTGGGTGTTCTGGTACTTTCTCAACTCCTTCCAGCACCCGCTGCCCTGGAGCTCCTGCCCACCAGACCTCAACCGCACAGGTGAGGGGCCAAGCTGGGCTGGACACACACCCACACATAGGGAAGCGCTGGCCCTCCCTGCCCAGCTCAACCCGGGCTGGACTGCAGTGGCACAGGAAGCCATCCAGGGTGCCCCGGGCAAGGCCTGAACCTCCAATACGGTCCCCGACATACCCCTGCCGCAGGGCTGGTGGAGGAGTGCCAGCGCAGCAGCACCGTGAGCTACTTCTGGTACCGGCAGACGCTGAATGTCACAGCCGACGTCGCTGACAGTGGCACCATCCAGTGGCGGCTGCTTGTCTGCTTGTCCACCTGCTGGGCTGTGGTCTACCTGTGCGTCATCCGAGGCATCGAGAGCACTGGCAAGGTATGGGGGCTGCTCCAGGGGCCCTGCCAGCTTTCCTCACCCTGAGGCTTCAAGGTCCAGCCTATGCTGGAGCTATCCTGCGGCTGCCTCTTGCCTAGGCCCTCACGGGGCCATCTCCCATCCTGGCAGCCACTCTGGGGGCATCTAGTATTGCTTTGTCAGTCTGGTTGGACATCTTCTGCCTGTCACCCGTGGGTCTGTGTGGTCACCAGGAGTGGGTGCAAGCCGATGTGCTGCCTGTTGTCTGTGGGCTGTTCCTCCTGAACAGCAGACAGTGTGGAGGTGCTCTGTCCAGCTCTGCGCTGACCAAGCTGCTGGCTGAGGCAGTGGGGGCGTCTGAGACTCTTTTAGAAGTATCAGGGGAGCCGCCCGGGGAAGGAAGGCCCACTATGAGGCTGACGGCCCCAAGGGAGGCCCACTGGATACACTGGAGGCCCTTCTTGGTGACGTGTGCTCCATGTGGATCTGTGTGTGGTCACACTGTGATGTGCTCTGTGTGTAGGGACATGGGCTCCACGTGTGGTCCTGTGCAGAGAAGGGAGAGTGGTCTCCTCATGCCCCCTTCTCTGGAGCGGGCCACTCTCCACTCAGCATCCCCTTTTCCCACGTGGCTGAGGCCAGAGCTGCTGACCAGACCTGTTAGTGCAGGGCTGCTGTGCTGTCCTATCAAGGTCACCTGGAAGCTTCTGTGAGGTTGGCCTGAGTGGGAGGCATGATAGCTGAGGAAGGACCTGGCAGAGGGGCCATGGCTCCGCATGTGGCCAGCTGGGGACAGCAGGGTGGGAGAAGGGTCCATGGGCTAAGGGCAGGAGAGGAGACTGCCCGGGGAGGGAACCCTACCTGTCCTGAATGCTGGTGCTACCTTGGCCAGCCCAGCGCGTCCGGGGCCCATCTCCCTCCTGAGCCCGCCCCGCCCCAGTGCACAGCCTGCAGGTGGGACACAGGCTTGGCGGGTGACACTGCCGTGTCCGCCTTGTGGCCCCCGCCCAGGCCATCTACTTCACCGCCCTCTTCCCATACCTGGTGCTGACCGTCTTCCTCGTCCGTGGCCTCACGCTGCCCGGTGCCACACAAGGACTTCTCTACCTCTTTACCCCCAATGTAAGTGGCCCCAGGACTCATCCCTCCCCTGTCCGGTGAGGCTGAGAAGAGGCTCTGGGTCCCCAAGTCACGGGGGTAATGTCCAGGTGCAGACAGGGGTGGAGAGCACCTTGCTGGGCAGAGGCGGTCAGCAGGTGTGGCAACAGAGCCAAGGGGCTTTCTCCTCAGAGCCCTGTTCTTCCTGGAAGTCCACTGCCCAGCATCCGAGGGGCAGCCAGGGCTGCAGTCCACCCCCAAGAGCCCAGGGAGGACTAAGGTCTGCCCAGGTCCCCAGTGGTGGACAAATGGGGCCATGGGGTGCATGCCCCCATGTAGGATTCAGCCAAAGTTACACGTGAGCATAGGCACGGTGCCAGCCACATCCTCCCATGTGCCCACTGGGACCACAGCTTGCTGGCTGTATCACACAACAGTGTCAGAGCGTCACACCCCTCCTGGCACCCGTTCTGAGCAGCTCTGGGCATCACTGCTCAAAAGTGTGAGCCGGAGGACACAGAGAACGTCTGGAAGTCAGCGCCCCGGAGAATGTGCTGGAACAGTCAGGGCAGGGCTTCCTGGGAAGATCCCAGCAGGGCCGGTCACTGCTGCAATCCTGAGCCAGGCTTTCCCCAACTTGTCCCAGATGGAAAGTCTCCAGAACCCACGGGTGTGGCTGGATGCGGCCACCCAGATCTTTTTCTCACTGTCCCTGGCCTTTGGTGGACATATTTCTTTCGCCAGTTACAACCCGCCCAGGTAGGCAGCGGCCTGGTGCCGTGATGTTCTGTCAGCCAGCAAGGCTAATGGGGGGCAGGAGCCACCTGCTGACCTCAGGTACCACAGGGACCCTGGTGGCCCAGCATGGACAGTGTGTGGGGATCTCATGCTGCACATGGGTGTCCCAGGGCACAATAGGGATGATACCCCTGGTCGGTTGCTCTAGAAGCTTCCAGTACCATCACAGGGAATTCATCCAGGCTGTGAGCAGCTCATTCAGTCCCGAGATGGCTGAATGTGAAAGCCTGGGTGTTGTTGGGGCACACTGGGCCACCAGTGCTGACCCCAGCCATAGCTGGTCTCAGGCAGCCATCAATACTGCTGGCTTCGTGTGAAGGAGCCAGCAGGGGCCGTCCTGGCTCACAGTGGCCCTGAGCGCAGCCCCCATGCCAGGAACGACTGTGCGAAGGACGCAGTAACCATCTCCCTGGTGAACAGCTTGACCTCAGTGTATGCCTCCATCACCATCTTCTCTGTCATGGGCTTCAAGGCCACCAATGACCACAGGCAGTGCCTGGACAGGTGAGGAGCTGGCTCCTACCAGGGTGGCTGCCGGGATCCAGTGGGCACATGTGTCACCTAGCAGCCATCTCCCTCAGGAACCTCCACTCAGGAAAGAGGACTGTGCACAGGTCCTGTTGGGGTGTGGGGAGTCTGGACCCAAGCCCAGTGGCAGACAGTGCCCGCCCCATGCAGCCCCAGGATGGAGGGGGGCAGCCACTGTGAGTTTAGTGCTGGCACAGCGTCCTGACACGTGCTCCAGGGTCTGTCAGTGGCCATGGCCCTGGCTGGGCAGCTCTGCGCCCCCATGGGACAACGGCGATGCCCACAGGCATTCCTGCAGAGTGGGAAGGGGCTCCAGCTCTGGGGCCGGGGTGCTGGTGGACCCACCCAGCATGTGGCCCTCACACATTATCTGCCATGCACATGCTCGCAGGGGCCTGGGGTGTAGGGTGTGTCCAGCCCAGAGTCCGCGTCCCTACAGGAACATCCTCGACCTCATCAACGGGTTCGACCTCCCGGAGCAGAGTGTCTCCAGGGCCAACTACACAGCTGTCCTCACGCACCTCAACGCCACGCAGCCAGAGAGGTTGGCCCAGCTGCCCCTGAGCACCTGCCACCTGGAGGACTTCCTGGACAAGGTAGTACCTGCCAGACACCGCATCCCCCGTGGGCCCAGGTGGCAGGCCAGGCACATGGGGCCAGATGCGGTCATGGTCTGACCATACAGGCTGTGTCCTGGAGTCTCTGCCTGCCCAGGCTCCTTACAAGGAGGGGGCTGGCTGCAGCTGGAGCTGTCTGAGGCAGGGTGGGGCTAAGTGGGGGTGTGGAGCCCACCATGAGCTTCTGAAGGCACACACGTGTGTTATGGCGAGCTCCCGGGTTGCAGAGTGCCTCAGGCCCCGGCCTGGCCTTCATCGTGTTCGCGGAGGCGGCACTGCACATGCCCGGGGCGCCGGTGTGGGCTGCACTCTTCTTCGGGATGCTCTTCACCCTGGGGCTGTCATCCATGTTCGGCAACATGGAAAGCATCGTCACGCCACTCCTGGACATGGGGATGCTGCCCAGAGGGGTCCCCAAGGAGGCTTTCACTGGTAAGGGGTCAGGCCCTGCAGAGCCTGCCCTCCACCTTCAGTGGTCAACTCTGCTATCTTCACATTCAGGGGCGGGGGGCAAGAGGCAGGATGCAGACTGCCTGCCCCTCTCCCCAGGCCTGATCTGCCTGGTCTGCCTGCTGGCATCCACCTGCTTCACACTGCAGTCGGGGAGCTACTGGCTGGAGATCTTCGACAGCTACGTGGCCTCTCTCAATCTCATCGTCTTCGCCTTCTTCGAGGTGGTGGGGGTTGTGTACATCTACGGCCTGTGGCGGTGAGTAGCCCTCCCAGGACACTGTGGGGGGAGGGTCACGGACTACCCCCGGGTCACCGGGCCCCATCTCTCCTGCAGCTTCTGCGAGGACATCACCTGGATGACGGGGCGGCAGCCGGGCCTCTACTGGCGGGTCTCATGGCGGGTGATCAGCCCCCTGCTTCTGCTCAGCATTTTTCTGGCCTACCTCATTCTCCTGGCCCAGAGGCCACCAAGCTATGGAGCCTGGAACCCGCACTATGTAGGTGCTCCGGACAACCACAGGTGGAAGCCAACAGGGCGGGGCTGGCGGTCTGCAGGGGTCACGTGCTGCCCCAGGCTCAGTGGGGGGGGGGGGGGGTTGGTGCTGACTCCTCCGTCAATTAGGGGCGTGGCTGCCCCACCTATCCCGTAGGTCCCACTCAAGGCTCCCCTTCCCACAGGAGCAGTTTCCCACCCGCCAGGAGAAGCTGTATCCCAGCTGGGTGCAGGCCACCTGCACGTTCCTCTGCTTGTTGCCGGCATTATGGATCCCGGGTGTCGCAATGGTCCAGCTGCTGGCCAGGGCCAAGAGGAGGTGGAAGGCCACATGGCCGGAAGGGGCCTGAGGCTGTAGGACAGCAGGGCCTACGGAGTGGGAAGGCTGTGGGAGTGACCTCATTACACTGTCTGCCCACTTGGTGTACTTGTTGCTTCTCCATCTCCACTCAACCATACCCAGGGTGCCAGGGTGCCCTCTGACTGGGATGGCACAGGGCCCCCACCATGCTGAAGAATCCAAGGAAAATGGGGAGCCCATGGTGTGAGGCCAGACCCCACTGCTCACCACTGCAGCCCGAGTGGCTTTCAGATGCGTACAAGCTCCCCAGGGGCCAGGAGCTCTCAGCCCTTGGGTGCCACATGCCTCCAGCCCCGGCAGTGGTCTCAGGTCAGATCCCTGCCCCATTTTGCAAACTGCCCCTCTGCAGTGGACACTGAGGATGCAGGGCAGGTCAATATGGGCAGAGGGTGGGCACAACCCCTTTGGTGGAGGGCAGTCCCGTGTGAGGGCTGAGCCAGGGCACATGCTGTCCCCTGGAACCACCATGGCAACTGGGGTGCTTGCAGGGGCCCTCTGGGGCTGACTCTGAGCACCAGGGCTTTCCTCGCCATCACCCAGCGTGTCCCTGCTCAGGCACGGCAGAGTAGCCTGGCCTGCAGGGGTCCTCCAGGGCTGGGGACAGCACGGTGGCACCGGAGTCCTGCAGCGGTTAAGAGGGAAAGGATGGAAGGTGGGGACTAAGACCCAGAGGGCGACAAGGCTCTAGACAACACAGTGGTGGACACAAACGGACACACACGCTCAGAAGAGGGGATGCAGCCCAGGGCTGGGGTGGCTGTCCCCATGGAATCCCATGTGCACTGCAGGGGCGGATACTGCTTCCATGTGGCCAGGAGCCGATGCTGGTCCAAGTGCCCCCCATGGAAGACCCCCAGGGAGTGGCCTGGCCTAGTCTGGTGCCGGCTGCTGCAGCCATCTGCAGAGTAACAGAAGAGCTTGTCTCTTTCAAATGAATAGAGAAGTCTTTGTGAGTTGAAATGTATGAACTCGGCGCACAACAGCCCGAGTGACAGGACAGCAGGAGGTGGGCGCCCAGGGGATGGACAAGTCCCTTGGCCTCTGCCCTGGGCTCTGCAGGTGCCGCAGACACTTAGGACACACTTGGTGGCCTGGGTCCAGAGCTCAGTTACTAGGATGCCTCGTGGGTGTGGCAGGCAATGGGTACAAGGTCCATGTCAGTGTCCCCATTGGGAGCATCCCAGAAACTTGGGGAAGCACTCCCAACTGCTGAAATGTCAGGTAAATATTGGCTCCTGCCAAGGTGGGTGGCTGCTTCCTCACCAAGTCTGGAGCTGTCATGTGGTGAGAGGGGCTCTCTGGAAAAAGGAAGATCCCCCGCTGTTCACCCCCATCATGTGGGCAAAGCCACCCGGGGCCCATGGGCTCGCCCCCAGCATATGGACAAGGCCACCCAGGACCTATGGGCTCGCCCCTAGCATGTGGACAAGGCCACCCAGGACCTATGGGTTCACCCCCAACATGTGGACAAGGCTGCCCTCAGCAGTCAGCTCAGGGACCATGGGCAGCTGGAGCCTGATCCTTATGTAGGAAGCATGCTGGCCCAGCTGAGGCCTGCTGAGAGCTACCTCCCGTGTGTTCCAAGGCCACTGGCTCTACACAAAGCCTTACCATAGCATCAACTCTTGGCTCCCCCTGAGGCCAGCTCAGGCACGGGGCTGCCCTATCCCAAGGGGCTGGTCCCTGGCCATCCTGTGGGGGCCACACAGCCGGCCCTTAAGTTCTAGAATCCTTGCACCTGCTCCCGGCATACCCAGGGGATGGAAGCCCAAGGTGTTGCTGGGGGCGGCTGGCAGGGTGTGCTGGACACTGTGGCCAGAGCAGGGACAGGGCAGTGGCAGGACTGGGTGAGGCCTGAAGAGTTGATCAGCACTTTGCTTCAGGGAGTCTGGACTTTGGATGCAGTAGGAGGAATGGGGCAGGATGCCTGGCAAGGGTGCGTCTCATGGGGCAGGAACTCACAGTCAGGCTCACTGTCCACGGTCAGCTCTTCCTGGCGCTTTGATGGATGGACAGCAGGGAAGACAGACCAAGCCCCACCCCTCACGGTGTCAGACGTGTGGGGCTGGCAGGGTTTCAATCCAGGATGGCCTTGATGTCCGTGGTCAGGGCTGGGGCAGCTGCAGCTTCCAGGGCGCTCAGGGTGGCCTTGGGCAGCTTCTGACGCAGCTGGGCCTGGGCTATGGGGAAGGCTGGGAATCAGGGTGGCCCAGCAAGATCTGGGATCAGCTCCCACGGGCAGCTGGGGCCAGGCCGGCCAATAGGTACCTGTTCTGAGTGCCGGCAACAGGCACTTGTAGGAGGCTTTGTGGCGGCCCAGCCACTGCAGGAAGGCGTGATAGCACAGCCAGCGGGCGGCTTCCAAGGGGAACGGGCCAGAGGCACCCCTGGCCCCCAACAGCATCCCTGGGGGAAAACCAGGGCAATGATCCCACCCCACCAACCCAGGGCCCCTAGCTCCTATCTTCCCCTGGAGATGGCGTGCCCCAGCAACCACGTGCCATGCCTACCAGTGCAGCTGCCCACCACACACACCCAGGACTGCTCCACCCCAGCACCTGGGTTCTTAGCTTGCAGGATGGAGTGGCAGCAGGACGCAGTGTCTGAGATGACCCTCAGGAAGAAGGATGGGTTACTGCACACCTGCTGGTTGAATGGAAGCCGGAGCACACACGCATGGAACCTGGGGGGGGCAGGGTTATTACACATGTGGAACCGGGGGGGGCAGGGTCGTTACACATGTGGAACCGGGGGGGGGCAGGGTCGTTACACACGTGGAACCTGGGGGCAGGGTTGTTACACATGTGGAACCTGGGGGCAGGGTCGTTACATACGTGGAACCTGGGGGGGGGCAGGGTTGTTACACATGTGGAACCTGGGGGCAGGGTCATTACACACGTGGAACCTGGGGGGACAGGGTCGTTACACATGTGGAACCTGGGGGCAGGGTTGTTACACACGTGGAACCTGGGGGCAGGGTCGTTACACATGTGGAACCTGGGGGCAGGGTCGTTACATACGTGGAACCTGGGGGGACAGGGTCGTTACACACGTGGAACCTGGGGGCAGGGTCGTTACACACGTGGAACCTGGGGGCAGGGTCGTTACACATGTGGAACCTGGGGGCAGGGTCGTTACATACGTGGAACCTGGGGGGGGCAGGGTCGTTACACATGTGGAACCTGGGGGCAGGGTCGTTACACACGTGGAACCTGGGGGCAGGGTCGTTACATACATGGAACATGGAGGCAGGGTTGTTGCAGGACAGGATCCATGCTTGTGTATGTGTGAACCAGGGCCCAGGAGTGTGCTACATACATGTGAATGTACTGTACACTGGGTGTGCCCTACTGTGCACATGCAGCTACACATATGTGCTGTCACATGATCACACGACAAGGCCTGTGTCCGTCTCCCTGACTGTGGAGCCTGTTCTGGATTCTGGCATGGCCATGCGCTCAGCCAGCATCCTGCTCCAGCCCCACCCCAGAGCCATTCCGCCAGTGGGGGGACAGTGGTAGAGGGTCCTCCTGCCAGCAGCTGCGGTCCCAGGGCCAGGGTTTCCACTCTGGTGGTCTGGCTGGCAGTCATGGCACTCAGGGGATCTGACAGTGGTTTCTGCTTCAGGAATCCAAGCCAGGGCCTGTGTCCAGGCACTGCTGGACGTGTGCACACAGGCCTCCCCCCGACCCTGCCTGCCTGTGCTACCATGCTCCTGCTCGCCCGTCCCCTCAAGGACTCCAGTCCCGGCCGTCTGCCCATCGCTCCCTCCCCCAAGCTTCCTGCCTGTGAACAGGGAGCCAGGTGCTGCATTGCTGGCCCTTCTGGGGCCCCTGCTGGGGGCTATGTCCCAACCTGTGTGTCAGGCCACCCACCAGCACCTGCCCGTGTCACAAGGACACCTACAGATATGCCATGTGCAAAGAGCGAGAGAAAGCCCGACCCAGCCAGACCCCGCCCCTGGACCATCCTGGACTTGCCCAGGAAGGAGCTGCATGTGGCCAAGGCCAGCCCTGGCAGCCGGATCCAAGTTTAGCCCATGTGGTCAGTGTAACTCCCCTGGGCAATCCCTGTGATGGACGCTGACCCTGTTTGCTAGCTGTGGGGGCTAGTCCTGGGCACACCACGCTGGGGCCTATTGCCTCTCTCAGCTCTGGTCAACAGCCACCACCTGCTGCTTGATGCTGCCAGACTTCATGGAGACAGGGTCATGGGAGGTTCCCCATCCCCACCCAGCTGCAGGGGCGGGATTTCCTCAGAAACCTCAGGGAGCAAAGTTCCCTGTGTGCCCTGGCCTGAGGGGAGGCTGCGCATGAGCTGGGTGGGTGTCTCTCACCAGGGTCTGGCATAGGCCAAAGCACACAGCTACCCACCCACTCCTTTCCCAGGCCCAGCCCGGGACAACATACGTCCCAGAAGCATCATCAGGCCCGGGCACAAGCTGGTGTCTCCTCTTCCCCACCATGCTGGGCCCCACAACTGTCCCTCCATGCCTCCAGGACAGTCACATGGCCCACAGTCAGTGCACAGGGACCTGGCCTATGTGAAGCCACGTGAGGCCACGCCTGCAGGTCAGAAGAGGCACCAGCAGGTGGTCAGTAAGAGCCAGCTGTTGGCCAGGCCTGTGCTGCCCTCTGGTGGCACGCAGTGGACTCACCTGTAGGCCTGCAGCAGAAGGATCTTGTGCAAGTTCACGCAGACGGTGTGAAGGCTGTTCACCTGCTTGTCACAGATTGTGCTGCTCACACAGTGCACGCCCACACACCTGTGTGCCCGTCACATGGTACACAAGGCTTGCACGCTCACACAGTGCACGCCCACACACCTGTGTGCCCATCACATGGTACACAAGGCTTGCACGCTCACACAGTGCACGCCCACATGCCTGTGTGCCCGTCACATGGTACACAAGGCCTGCACGCTCACACAGTGCATGCCCACACACCTGTGTTCATCACATCACTTTTGCAATCAGGCATATATTGACACACATGTACACATATGCTGGCATACCATTTCGTATGCACCTTGCTGAGCACATGTCCATGCCACCTGCTCACCTGCAGATCCAGGAACAGCCCATGACACTTGAGCCGCAGGATGGCCAGGAGCTTGTGCCGCAGGCTCCTCCCAGCCTGGGGGCCGGGGTTGAAGGTGAAGCCGGACCTGGCAGACGTTCCTGCGAAGCTGTGACATGGTAGGCATCAGGTGGCTCTCATTGTCACCTAGCCTGATGCCCACCCAGGCATGGCCGGGACTGGGCCTCACCTGGAGTAGTCGCAGGACACCTCGAGGGTCCGGGTGTCCAACAGCAAGCCGCACCAGGGAAACAGACAGTGGGCAGGCAGTTGTAGGGGGGCCTGGCCACCCAGTGCTGTCTCCTCCACTGGGAAGTTCACCACTGTCTTCTCCACGTTTATCTGGCAGCCATATTCGGGGACGCCTTGGACCAGGGTCCTGAACCGGGGAGGGGTAGCATCATCTAGGAGGTGGTGGGCATATGGCCCCCTAATGGCTGCTGAGAGTGGCTTTCGCAGGAGACCCCTGGCTGCAGGGTACACCCACCTCGCCATCCTTGCCTCTGCTTGTGGGAGCCACAGAGCAGGACTGGATGTAGCCCAAGAAGCCCTCAGGACTGGCAGACCAAGGCCCACACAGGGCTGTGTGGGGCCCTCAGCTCAGGGCGCAGTGACAGAGGGTCCCATGTGGGGCCCGAGTCACGGGAGTGACTCCCACCTGAGAAAGGCTTTTGCTTGTGTCAGGTCCGGAGTCACCAACAGGAAGTCATCCACCAAGCGCAGGAGCACCCTGAGTTAAGGACGTGGGGACATGCAGGATGAGGAGTGGTCGCTCCTGAGGTCACAGGCCCTGCCTGCAGGTCAGGAGAGGTGTCCAGGGGTCTCAGGGGCCAGTGCCAGCTTCCCATGCCAAGAATGCCAGCATGGTCATTACAGTCAGACAAGGACCATGGATGTCTGAGTGCAAGGACATCAGGGAGGGCACATGGCAGCCAGGGAGGACACACAGCACCCAGGGAGGGCACACAGCACCCGGGGAGGACACACAGCACCCAGGGAGGACACACAGCACCCAGGGAAGGCACACAGCACCCAGGGAGGGCACATGGCAGCCCCAGGGAGGGTGCTCACCCATCCTGCTGGATACTGGCAAACAGCGAGTTCTCCATGTCCCCATAGCACAGGCTGCAGAGCAGTGTGGACAGCATGGAGCCCTGTGGAATCCCCTGACATTGCACGTAGGACCTAGAGCGCGGGGCAGAAGGGTCAGCCAGAGCCCAGACAGCTGTCCCAGGGTCTCCCCCCACGCGCCAGCCATGGCCTCACCGGCCCCCGACATGGATAACACTTTGGTGAACAAAGCGCAGGAAGAAGGCGAACAGGTCATCACTGGTTTCGTTCAGGGAGCAGCTCTGTGGAGGAAGTGGCCGCAGCCAGCTCAGCTTGCGGGGACAAGGCGAGGGGCTGTACTGGAGGACAGCGTCTCCGTGGCTGGCTGGGATCCTGCCAGGGCCTGGTAGCCACACCCCTAGGGACTGCAGCAACAACTCCATAGACCCCCGCTCACCTGAGCGGACCCAACGCACACACACGTGCACACTGGCCTCAGGACAGATCTGGGGAGGCTGCAGCCAGCACTGCCCATGAGAGCTGTGAGCATGCGGCTCTGTGGGAGAAGACCAAGCGAGTCCTGTGTGGTATGGGGGCCCTGCTCACCCCCACCTTGCTACATCCCTCCCAGGCCCAGGGGAAGCAGGACCTGCTCAACAACAACAGCATCCCTTAGGGACTTGCTCTCCTGCAGGTGCTCCACGAACTGCCGCATGTACGACTGGTGGTCCTCCAGGGTGGACACCTATGGCCAGAGGGATGGGCGTGAGGCTGCCAGGCACTGGGCACACAGCACTTCCAGCCAGGACCCCAGCAGATGGATGTGGCAACACTTGGCACAGCCACGCCAGTGCTACAGGCAATTCACGCCTGCACGGCCACATGTTCATGTGGACACCCGGCCCCGGGCCTCACGTGTGTCTTGAAGGATTTGTGGATGCAGCCTAGGGGTGCTCGGCGCACAGTGGCAAAGCGACGCACGCAGTAGGTCCTCTCTGAGTGCTGCAGGACACGGGCCATTACAGCCACCAGTCTGTCCTGTGGGATGGTGTCAAACGCCCCTGTGATGTCCACCTGCTCAAGGACACCAGGGCTTGAGCTCCAGCCCCAGTCCTCGCCTGGCCCTGCCCTGAAGCCTGTTCCCCCAGCCTGGCCTGCCCTGAAGCCTGTTCTCCCAGCCTGGCCTGGCCCGAGCCTGTTCTCCCAGCCTGGCCTGGCCCGAGCCTGTTCCCTGAGCCTGGCCTGGCCCGAGCCTGTTTCCCCTAGCCTGGCCTGGCCCCGGAGCCTATTCCCCTAGCCTGGCCTGGTCCGAGCCTGTTCCCCGAGCCTGGCCTGGCCCAAGCCTGTTCCCCCAGCCTGGCCTGGCCCACGCCTCTTCCCTGAGCCTGGCCTGGCCTGAGCCTGTTCCCCGTCGCCTCCCACTATCCTGCGGCAAGTGGACACAGCAGATGGGACCCTGTCACCCACCACCCTTCCTGACCCTATCTAACCTGGGAGGGCCTGTGTCCTCCCCTGACCCCACCTGGCCCGCGGGAGGGGGAGCCTGTGCCGCTGTTGGGGTCTCTGGTCCCAGCTCTCAGCGGCCGGTGCGCCCTCAGCTGCTGACCATACCCTGGGTACTTGGGCCCTGGTAGCAGAGCTGAACTCCATTCTTCTCTAACCAGGACCATCCCGAGCAGGTCGAGCACTTGTGCTGAGGCGGCAGTTACCCAACTCCCCAAGGAGACTCACCTTGACAAAATGCAGCTGGGGGTGCGGGTCCTGGGCCCGCATGCGTAATGTGAAGGCCTGCCAGGCACGGTGGACGTCATCCAGGCCCAGCACAGAGGCCCCCAGCAGCCCTGGCCGTTGCGCCCGCTCGTAGTTGAGCACACTGAAAAGTGTCTTGATGTGTGAAGTCCACTGCTGGGCCTGGACACAGGGACGCACCCTCAGGAGGGTGTCCCGCTGGGGACATGGTAGCCCATCCCATCTCAGCACCACTTGGGGTTGGGGACCCATGGCAGAGGTCAGCGGGCCTCCCCACCCAGAGGCTAGGCCCTTAACAGAGTGATATCTACCATAGTCGCTAATGGCAGGGTAGCCACAGGGGCAAGACATAGGACAGAGTTGGCGGGGATGGGGTCCTTGGGTCCCATGACAGTTGCCACATGGCCTCCCTGCCCCCCTGGGTGGGGGCCACGGCAGGGGTCCGTGGGCCGTGGCCACTGCTCCCTGTGGACTCGTGATCCACTCACAGTAGCCCTACCCAAAGCTGCCTGCGTGGAAGCACGCATGCTCACCTTCTCCCTGCGGAAGGTCCTGGCCCCTGCCATGGAGTCCACGCTTACGATGGGTCGTAGCCCACTGGGCTTGGGGATGAAACGCAACCTAGCCTCAGGCAGCGGTGGCCAGGCCTGGCGCCAGCGCTGGACCTCAGCATCTGACAGCTCGCGCAGCCGCACACGCTCTAGGTGCTGCCTAAGAGGCATGGGCATGGTGAGGGCAGGCCGGGCCAGCCCCTTCCCCGCGTTCCCCAGGGGCCATGATACCTGACGCCCATGCCTTGCAGCCTGCACCACACGCTCTTGCGGTAGAAAAGGAGTTGGTTCCGCTGGAACGTGGTCTCGGTGACGTAGAAGAAGGAGCCGAGCAGCCCAGCCACACAGGTGTCCAGCAGCCAGAACAAGAAGCGGCCCAGGATCCCTTCCCGCAGCCGGTGTTCGGCGGCTGGGACACAGCTGCACCCTGGAGGCGACAGGGATGGCACACACATGATACCTTGGGGTCAGGGCTGGCTTAGAGCCAGCTCCGTGGTGGGGGGGGGGTCGTGTCCACGGTGGAAGGTGGTGGCGGTGATCTGCAAGCCAAGGAAGGAAGGGGTGGGGAGGGCACAGAAAGCTGGCAGTACACACCTTAGGAGCCCGGGGCAGCCTGGGGTGCCCAGCCCACGGAATCTCCATGCCAACTGCCCACACAGCTCACACAGAGGCCCCCTTGTCATCACACACCCGGCTGGTGACGAGCAGTGGGGCTGAGGTACCATCCCACCTGGGTGCTGGTTCAGGTTCCAGCTGACTGGGCCCCTGAACCCATATGGGAGACCCAGAGGAACCTCCTGGCTCCTGGCTGCAGCCCAGCCCAGCTCCAGCTGATGTGGCTTTTTAGGGAGTGAACCAGCAAATGAAAGATTGAGCTCACTTTCATAAGTAAATCTTTGAACACAGAAGTTACACAGAGAATGACAGAATAAGCTGGAGGCAGGCAGGAGAGATGCAGAGAGGCCCTAGAAGGTCCTGTGGGGACGCCAGGACTCCACTCTGAAGGCCACGGGGCACATGCTGACCTGAGGCTTGGATGACCCGGAGGGGTGGGACAGGCAGAACAGTGGACAGGCAGCGAGCGCTCAGCAGCCGGGATAGGAGCCACCTGGGCTGCTGCCGTGGGCAGAGCAAGGCAGGCAGACACGGGGTCTGCAGCAGTGACCGGCAGGGCCTGTGGCCAGGACTGGCACCAGCAGCCCCAGGTGACTTGTAGGAGGGGAGGGTGGCCAGGGGCCCAGGTCTATCCAGTGGCCTGCTCAGCACCATGTCCTGTGTCTGTCCACATCCTGGACCACAGGATCCCTGGCCTCGGGGCCAGGCACAAGTCCCTGGGACAGCGGGTCTCGGGAGAAGCAATAGGGTGTCTGGCAGCCAGCAGAGTGGACTTCCTTCTACCGTGCGGGGTGCAGGCTGGGGGAGCTGAGCCAGAGGACCCTGGGTCATCCGCTCCTGCAAGCTGGGCCCTGGGTAGATTCCACCTATCTGCCACTCCCGTTGGGGCAGTTTTTGGGTGCCCCCATGGTGCCTGGAGTCGGCCGCGACAAGAGGGCACTGCAAGACACAAACTGCTGGCTGGGAGCAGCTCTGACGCATAGTCCCCCAACCGGGTCTGGGACCACCCCTGCCGACCCCGCAGCGCCCCACCCCGCGCTCACCTGGACCCCTGCGCAGCCAGGTGCAGTCTTGCACCCTCATCTTCCAGGTCAGTTCTTGCAGTGAGAGCCGGCCGTGCTTCCCCAGCGAGACCAACTTCTTGGTATTCCTCAGAAAGCGGCGCTCATTCCGCCGGGAGCCCCAGAGACTCGCGGGCACCAGGCGTCGCAGACAGGCGCGCAGGAAGGCCAGCACCTGCCACGGGCTGCTGTGTTGGCGCAGAAGTGGCAGCAGGCTTTGGGAGTCCGAGACCTGGCTTGGGGGCGCCCGCAGCGGGCAGTAGGCGCAGAGCAGCGCATGGTAGGGGCACCGCGCGTGGTTTGTCAGTAACTTCCGGAACAAGGGCCGCATCCTCCAGTAGCGCGCAGGCAGGCGGCTCGTTCTGCGGCCAGGCCGGGATGGGGAGCCTAGGAAGATGGCCTCTACCAGCCTCCGGGCCCCCACTAGGCTGGGCGGCAGGGAGCTGAGCGGGAAAGAGGGACGCAGCTGCTCCTGGTCCCCACTGCAGTAGAGGAAACGCTGCGTCTCCACGTAGAGCTGCGCGGGCCCAGAGCCCTGGGGAGGCAGTCTCTGCTGCACGGATGGGCGACCGGCCTTGTGCTGGTAGGTCACATCAGTGGAGGCCCTGGGACGCCCAAGCTCTGAGCTCCTACCGTCCATGTGGGGATCACCACCGACTGCCCTGGATACCTGCTCGGGAAGCGTGCACCTTGGCTTCTTGGCCAATGGTGGATTTCCATGTGCACTACTTCGCCACCGCCTTAAACTCCGGGCTGGCGAGCACAGGGGCGCCCCGGCCTCGCCGTGGCAGCCACTCCAGACACGTCGCGTGGTTTCGAGGCCTATGCGGTTTCTGCCTCTGTGTGGTGGTGCAAGCTGGTGCTGGGGGCTGGCCCAGAGCTCGTAGAGGGGCGGCCCGCACACCTGGTAGGCGCAGCTCGGGGCCACCAGCTGATAAAGCGCACAGCGCGACAGCAGATACGCGAGCACATCATCGCCCACCCGGCGCAGCAGCAGCCCCCACGCACCGCTGCCGCGCAGCGTCTCCGTCACAGTGTTGGGCAGGTAGCTGCGCACGCAAGTGGTGAAGGGCCAGGGCAGGCCGCCGCGGGTGCCGTCCAGCAGCGCGAAGCCGAAGGCCAGCACGTTCCTGACGCGGCGCTCGCACAGCCTCTGCACCACCCGGGCCACCAGCTCCTTCAGGGAGGACACCTGAGGGGGAGCGGTCGTGAGTCGCCAGGGGCGCGTCCCGCTACGTTTCTTGATCCGCCCCTCACCCCGATCCCGGCAAAGCGGTCCCCACCCTGACCCGCGCGGCCCACCTGGCGGAAGGAGAGCGCGGCGGGGGGCAGCTGCGCGTCCCAGGGTACGCACACCAGGCACTGCGCCACCAAAGCGCGGAAGGCGGCTGGGTCCCCGCGCCGCACGAGCGGGCGGCTCTCGGGCCCCAGGCGCCGCACGAACGTCGCCAGGGGCAGCACCTCGCGGTAGCGGCTACGCAGGAGCGCGCGCACGGCCCGGCACCGGGGCGCGCGCGGCATCGCCGGGCCGGATCACCCCAGCGAGGACTCGGGAGAGCTGAAGCGGTGCTGCCTCCCACGTGTCGGGATGCCCAGCGGCCCGGAGGCAGCCCGGGCGCCCGCGCACTGCGCGGGAAGGGCGGGGTCCGGTCGCGGGGAGGAGGCGGGGCGCCGGGAGGAAGGGGCGGCTCCTCCGGGCCGGGGGCGCGCCAAGGCGGGGCCTGGGCCTCCGCCCGCCGCACTCAGCCCGCCTCTGGCGGGGTCATCGAGTTTCCCGCAGGAGGTCCCGCCGATAGCTGGTTCTGGGGTTCTGGTGTGGCCGGCCGCGAAGTGGGGGTCCTGGTAGGCAGGTACGTCACTCTCAGGGTCCTCAGTTCCCCACGTGGGCCGCGGCCCAGCTAGTCGGGGAGGGTGCGGATTTGCAGCCGCAGGCCTGGGACCTCCGCCTGGCCTGGGCTGCCAGGCACCCGAATTCCACTCCGGCAACACCCCTGAATCTAAGCAGAAAAGGACAGGCGACGTCGGGACCCCAAGCCCGGGGAGGCGGGCGACGTCGGACTCCGGAGTCAGCCGATGTTCCCATGGTTGAGGGTGGCGCGTGGACTCTCCCACTGGCCGAGGAACTTAAAATTTGGACAGAGCTAGCAAATGTTACTTGCGCAGAAAATCGCCCTTCTTGGTGGAAAAGGGAATGGTTGACTCGGGGTCCCATGCCACACTTACCTCATGGAAGATGCCCAGGGGCCTGTGCCCACAGCTGCCGGGATAAAGCTTGGGGCTTTCCTGCCACTGCCTGCTGCACAGCCTGGACCCCTAGACCAGGCACTCAGAAAGGGAAGGCGGGGCCCGTGGGTGGTACTGGCAGCCAGTGTCCCCTGGGAGTACTGGCTTGGGTCTGGCACCTGGGAGAAAAGGAGTGGATGAGGGAGGCTCGGTCCCTTCTCTCCATTCCTTTAACTCGCCTTTCAAACCAGTAAATAAATCTCTTATTCAAAACAGGAGGCAGGTCCTGAGGCAGCCTCACCTGCCCTGTGACATCACTGCACACTTCTTCATGGACTCGCCAGCTCGGTTCTGCTCAGGGTACCCTGTGATATAGGCCCTGGGCAGGGGTGGGCAGCTGGCATAGCACCTGCAGGGGCTGTGGCCCCGGGGATCTTGCCCACAGTGCCCATGGCTGGCAGACACTGCAGAGGGGACGATGCAGGCCCGGCTGCCCAGGGTGGATCTTGCTTCACCACAGGGTCACCTGTGACCCGGCCAGCTCATCCTTCTGGCTGTCTTGGTGCCAGCCAGGGCACGGGTCTCATTCACAGTCCTCGGATGGACAATACCCAAGATGAACGAGGCTGTGCCTTGGATCAGTGCAGGCCACGAACCTACCACCTCCCCATACCTATGTCTGCCTAGGCTGCGGCCAAGGGGGCGTGCTGCAGAGGGCAGGCACTCACATAGCTTGCCTAGGCGCCAGACAGGGACTGGAAACCATGCCATGCGTCCAGCAGGTGAGCGGTGTAGGTGTGTGTGCAGGGGAGTGCCGGGACTCCCGTGTTCCAGTGGGCGGCTCTGGCCTGAGGCCGGGGTAGTTCCAGCCTTAGTGCTGGGCCAACCGACAGCACTTGCCTTGCCCCGCCCCATGTCACTCACCCACCCATTGGTCACTTCTCAGCTCAGGAGTTCTGCGCGCAGTGCTGACCCGCCTTCTTTGGAAGGGTTAGTCTGTCAACACCTTGGCTGCTTGGGGTCCAAGAGCCATGCCTCCAACTTCACAACCCACACCTGTCACTTAGGCAGCTCGGTGTAATCGTCTCAAATGGGCCTGAGCGCAGGTTCCGCTCAAGGGTTATCACCTCCCACTTGGTCCTTGGCCCTGTGGTCAGCGGCTGCAGTGAGCATGCGGCCCTGCGGTCAGCGGCTGCAGTGAGCATGTGGCCCTGCGGTCAGCGGCTGCAGTGAGCATGCGGCCCTGTGGTCAGCGGCTGCAGTGAGCACACGGCCCTGTGGTCAGCGGCTGTAGTGAGCACGTGGCTCTGTGGTCAGCGGGTCAGCAGCTGCAGTGAGCACGTGGCCCTGTGGTCAGCAGCTGTAGTGAGCACGTGGCCCTGTGGTCAGTGGCTGCAGTGAGCACACGGCCCTGTGGTCAGCGGCTGTAGTGAGCACGTGGCTCTGTGGTCAGCGGGTCAGCAGCTGCAGTGAGCACGTGGCCCTGTGGTCAGCAGCTGTAGTGAGCACGTGGCCCTGTGGTCAGCGGCTGCAGTGAGCACGTGGCCCTGTGGTCAGCGGCTGTAGTGAGCACGTGGCCCTGTGGTCAGCGGCTGTAGTGAGCACGTGGCCCTGTGGTCAGCGGCTGCAGTGAGCACGTGGCCCTGTGGTCAGCGGCTGCAGTGAGCACACGGCCCTGTGGTCAGCGGCTGCAGTGAGCACACGGCCCTGTGGTCAGCGGCTGCAGTGAGCACGTGGCCCTGTGGTCAGCGGCCGGCTCCATGCTGTGGCTGTCCTTATGCATCAGGCAGCTGTCCCAGGTTGCGTTCCTCACAGGACTCCCATGAAGGAACCTAGCGGTCATTCATGGGCTCCATCCACTCTTGGTTTCCAGAACGCTGGGAAGAAGGCCCAGGTCCTCCAGCAGGTTGGGCCATGCTGGGTCATCTGCCCTCTGGCTGCTCTTTCCGTGGCCTTGAGTAGCTGCGGGGAGCCTGTGCGTGGACTGGGCCAGGCACTGGCCGTGGAACTCTGCAGTTTAGGGGCAGGGGCCAGTGACTCAGGCTCAGCACACCAGGCACCTCCCTGCAGGACCCCAGGCATGAGCATGTGCCTCACCCCACACGCTTTTTCTGGCCATGGTTTGCTCTCTGTACCCCCCACCCCAGGGATCCAGCCCAGTTCAGCCTGGACCCCGCGAGCCCGCCACACCAGCTGCTGGGACCAGCACACACTAGGGCCACGTTACAGTTTACTTTAAAATAGAAACATGTAGACATCAACTTCACAAGGCTCTCAACAAAAGGGGCAAAGGGCCATTGATCTGAGTCCAGCGGAGGCATCGCCCCAAGCTGTGGAAGGGTACTGAGGCACACTCAGACCGGCTGCCCTGCCCCTCATGGCCTTTGGGGCCACCCAGCAAAGGGGAGGCACACACGTGCCCGGCAGACGTGGGGGTGCCGAGCTCTTCGCAAACATGTCATTGCAGGGGGCGTGGGGCATTCTGGGGTTTGGCAACGCAGAAGATGCAGTGTGGGACCGCCTCCATGGCTCCCAAGCCCGTGGGCAGGCGGGAGGTGGCCCAAACTTGGCTCCAACGCACTGGGCAGGCGGGTCAGTCTGCGTGGGATTTCCGCCCAGGACTCTCCTCATATGACTCCCCGAACTCGTTCACTCTGCTCTTATCCACGGGATAAAGCCTGCGAGGGAGGGGCGCAGCTCGAGCCCGAGGGCGGGGCCGTCAGGTGGGCGGGGCTGGCGGACTGAGCAGGCGTGGCCTCGGATTTGTGGGCGGGGCCGGCGGTGGGAGCAGCTGGAGGGTGTGGCCTCGCCCACCAGCAGGACAAGTGAGGGAAGCCCAAAGCCCTGTGCTGTGGACTGGTGTCCGGTCAGCAGCAAGGGCATACTGATACTCCATCACTTCCCCAGCTGTCCTGCTAGGAGTGTCAGCGGGGTGGTCAGAGCAGACTGCCTCCTTCATCCCTAGAGCACACCCAGGGCCTGGCCCACACAGTCCAGATCAGATGGGGCAGCAGGATAGCTCTGCGGCCACCAGCTATGGGGCCCATCTCTGGCTTCAGAAACTGCTTTGCCACCAAGAGCCCCTGGCTGGACACCAGATGTGAGGTCTGGGCACCTTGAAGAGCAGCAGGCAGCACCCCAACACCCGGGATTAGGGTTAGTGCAGTGGCCTGTGGCCGCTGCGGGTGAGGAATGACAAGAAGAGGACTTGGGGAGCAAGCAGAGCCGAAAGCTCATAGGGTGCTGGCTTCATGAGGAGCCCTCCGGAGCCCAGCACAGCTGGTAGTGCAGCAGGACCAGCAGCCTCCAGCCCCAGGTCCTTCCGCAGGCCAAGCTCAGGGGGTCGGGGTGTCTGCATCTGGAGGAACCTCCATGATCGTTCCCTGCCCTGACAAGACCAAGTGGAGGGGTCACAGGGCCCAATGTGGGTGCCCTCAACCTAGAGCTGCCGCTGGGGACCTTGGTAACTCAAGCGGGAGCCTTGCCTCCACAGTCAGAAGGAGTGGGGACAGGACATGGTCTCGCGGGTGGTCCCTGCCAACACCACTCACCATCGCTGGTAAAGGTAGACCAGGAAGACCACGTCGTCCCGGAAGCAGGCCAGCCGGTGGGAGGTGGGCATGGTGATGATGAAGGCAAAGACGTCGTCGATGAAGGTGTTGAAGGCCTGGAGGGGGTGGGGAGGGCGGCCAGGGCTGCGATGCGTGGGGCCCACTGTTGCAGACCCCACCCCATTGGGGCCTCCCAGGGTGGCAGCAGAGCAGGTGGTGGTGGGGCCTATACCATGTACACTCCAGGTCTGCGTCTACACTGAGGGTCTGTATCTACACTGTGGATCTGCATTCTCCATCTACACTGAGGGTCTGTGGTCTCCGTCTACACTGAAGGTCTGCGTCTGCACCGAGAATCGATATTCTCCACCTACACTATGGGTCTATGGTTTCCGTCTGCACTGTGGGTGTGGTCTCCGTCTACACTGAGGATCTACATTGCAGGATGTCTGAGCACACCCCGGCTAGGGATTCCACATCTAAGCCGCGATGCTGTCCCCAAGACACTGGTCAAAGCCACAGCAGGGTCCTCCCTGGCTCCTGGCCCTGCAGCCGCTCCCTGAGGACTGGGATTGTGACAGAGAGCCATTAACCCCAACAGAAAAGCTGCAGTCTGCCATGGACCCTCCCCAGGAAGCCCTACCTTGTAGGTGAAGGCTTTCCAGGGCAGGTGTGCAACTGACTTCATCTGGGACAGGATAGAGTGCAGTCAGCATGGGCACAGGGACACGGGGGCCGCAGTCGGCG